TGCGCGCGTCATTGACGTCACCTTTCAAATTTAATTGATCGCAAGTGTCCAGAAACTGTAACGCACCGCTTCCGGGTAGGCGTCATCACGTATGCCTGGATCACCACACATTTGTCCATTAACTTCGTGACGGATTAAAAAAATCATGTGTGTTGAACACGTTATTGAACGGAGGTTATGTATTACTCAAAAGTCCAGCCACCTTGGGTGATCTTCGTCACTGATTATTACAGCTTGAGGTGCCGAGTAGTGCGGTCTAAGGAAGATGGCACATGATCAAAGGTCGTCCTCAAACTTGACCTCTCAACTCCACACACATATCTACGCCCTGCCCCACACTAGCCGAGGATCGATACAGGACAATAACATGCTGTGTCACCTATCGATCAACCAACGAACCGAGTTAAGGCATGACAATTGCGCCAATCGATCGCTCATGCACACACAAACACACTCTCCATCTGCCACAAGCATAGTAACAAAGAGAAATGCATATGTGCATCAAATGTCCATGCTTTCGAGCCAAAACGTGATTTCCCGCACTGAACCGATCAATAAGAAAGAATCAGGTAAAGAAGAGAAGAGAAGAAAAGCATTTGACTACTACTACTACTATTACTACCACCATCATCATCTGGTGAAAATTTAATACTCTTTGCATTGGCGGTTAGTGTGACTAAAGCATAGAGTATTGCCTTCATTTAGGTCCATGCACAACGAACTACCACACTACAAGCAAACTTGAACGTAAGTTAACGGATCGTTATTAAACAGATGAAAAGATCAGTGTTGTCTGTGTGGCGTATTAAGTCAGCCGGTAGGGTGGTCGTAGAACAAAGGCCTCGGCGGCGACCACGCGTGAGTCCGAGATAACACCAGCCAGGGCTTACGAGTTACACTTTCGGGGTGATGGATGTGACGGCAACAGTCTCCACCAACCAAAGTCCATACGGTTCCAACCGACTTGACTTGACAAATGCGAGCGGCGATTAGTTAAGATCTGTTTAGCGGTTCCCTTATAGGAAGAAATCAACGGCCCTGGATGAGAAACGATGGAGAAATCGCGTTACATATATATTCTGATTCCTCCATCGTTTCTCATCGTCTTGTCCCTCTCAACCGTAACCTTCAACAAGTAAATTCTCTCTGCCCCTTTCTGCGATCTGATTGGATCATATTCCGCAATCTACAACACTTGGAATCCCTCACACCAACACGAGACTGTCTGATTTCCGGCTTGTACGTCTTGGAATGCTCTGGTTGTCACGTTCAGTCCATCCGTGTGCTGATGGCACTATTGCTGCACAGTCGAAGTTCACTAGGCCTGCCTAAGATTCACGACTGTAAACAAGGTGTGGTTTCTCGCTCGGGTTATCCGGGCAACCACCAGGTCCCTTGTTGCGGTGGCACCATCCGACCGATCGATAAGTTAACCCGATCGGTCGTGTGATTTTCGGGCCGACAAAGGAGGAGGATAGGTTCCGAATCCGGTGTTGGTAGAGAATCAGTTCTGGAGCGGTGCGCCATGTGGGAAATTCGGAACGGAAAGTGCTCAAGTAATGATGATACTGGGCCAACGCTTGACTCGTCTAAAATACAGACACTAATCTTCTAAGCGGGTTCGGTAAACAGATAATCGTGATAGAACTTTAAACTTGTCTTAGTAAAGGACGACAATATCCCCAATGTAGGCCCATGCAAAACTCTACTTGTTTTTTTCCCAACTAGCTGTTTTCGTGTTGAACGATCTCGCTAATTACGTTGGAGGTAGAATTCCGAAAGAAAGAACAAATATTATGGAAAAATGCGTATTACTTTTGTAAAATTTGTTCAATGTTTTCCATTCTGTTGCTTGCACAGTTTAATCAGAGCTTACGTGGTGTCCGTGATTTTTAAACCGGGATTCTTATTTCGTGATGACAATTACTACACTTAACTCCAAACAACCACAAGTTCAATCACGTTGATCATCTTGTTTTAACCAGTAAACTTTCATAGCCTATTGTCNAATTTTAAAATTTAACTTGACCATAACCCGCAAACAAACCACAACCCACTTGTCTATCATCTTGATCGAATGACTCATAGAAATCATTTTACATACATGTGAATAGGAACATGCGATTTACTCCCTCTGCCTTGGCCACAGATCACTCATCACGATGCCGCAAAACAATAGGAACTGAATGATCTCTCGATCATATCTATCTATTCCAATACGCAATAGATTAAATAAAATTCATAAACGAGGCACTCAGAACATCGTCCGATAAAGAACCACTTTAGATAAATCGATTTTTTCCAACTACTTACGAGTAGTTAAGTTCATCGGATTGCAAAACGACATGCACGGATGGCGTCAATCACAGTGTATGGTATTGTATTAAAGCTTTAGCGAGTTATATGCAAGCTCTCAGCCAAAAATGTACCACTGCTTCATTTCTGGTTAAAAGGTGAAAAAGTGGGACGTAAAACGTGCGAAAATATGAGTTAACTACAAAGTGCATTAGAAAGCCGATAACAAACAATTTCCTTGTCGGTCAGTATCTGGGCGAGCTAGGGCATCAGAGTTTCTGCATGCATATATGTGCGATGCGATAAGTTTGTATTTTGGAACCGCTGGAGGGGTGGGATATGCATGCACACAGATCAATGTGTAAATGCTGGGTGCAATCCGATAGGATATTATCAGCAAACTTCAAGCACGCACCAATATGAGCACTGCACATATTGTCAATCAGACCAGGTAACGGAACTTGGGAGACACGATTAATCACTGAGAAACCACGCCTCAGTAACTTGAAATTGGGCTTCAGTAAGCCAGATCAAATTACAGGGGAGCAGTAAAGTGGTATAGAGAGAACAAATTGTTGAACAAAAGCGTCTATCACCAACAAATCCAAACAGAAGTCTTCTTATGTGGAAAGAGAGAAGTTTCAGCTTGCGAGCAACAGTTTGGGCATATAAAGATCAGCTGAGTAACGTTGATAAATTCCAAGTCATTCTCACTGATACACGTGATACCTTGTAATGGCACTCGACAAACACTTGATCCCCTTATGATCAGATCGAATTCGCTCACCACCACCAAGGAGCTCACGGATCAACCGACATGGATCGAGAACGCAACAAGATCGGTCCATCTGCAAATTCAAAACGGCTGAAATGAGAACAAACTCAAACAGACACCAGATACCCGGAATTCAGTGCTGGACTATTCAAAGTTCAAGTCAAGTTCAACCCGCTTTTCGACAGGGTGTATGGGTGTGATGATGAAAGGCTGAGCACGAAATTCATTTCGGTGCCAAATAAAGGGCGAAGACATACATTCCACCTAGTCTGAGGTCATCCAAATCACCGTAAATGCGGACACTTCACAGATCAAACGAAGAGTACCAAATACCTGTCCAACATGCAGCCGATCGGAGCGGTTGTTCATACCAGTGCTCGAATCGCCATCAGTCATCAGATCGCACGAGGATAAGGAACACCAGTCCTCACTTGATACCCCGTATATAAAGCAAACAGATGCACGCCAGATGCACTTTCCTCACTTTTGCATAAAATCACCAAACCTTTGAATGACTCCGCGAAATCTGTTCGTTGTTTCTGGATTACTTATCTGCTTTTGATTCTATTCCTCGTCCCCTTCTTCGTAAACTGGAGACCTTTGGTTGTCCTAGACAGTTATTAACTTGGTTTGTCGATTACTTCTCCGGGAGAACTCAATGTACTAGGTTTGGTCGGAAGAAATCATTGGTGAATAATTCTGGGGTACTTCGAGGTGCAGTTCTTAACCCATACTTATTTTCTACGTATGTTAATGACTTGTCTGCTAGCGCCCCTCTCCACAAACACGCTGACGATGTGGTTTCATGTCAGGCCATCTCCGATTCTTCTGACCTTTCACAATTTTCCACCACATATGGCCTATCTCTTATTCTCTCCAAATGTTTTTCTTTCATTATCATGCCCCTCTCTCTCTCATCTAAACCGGTATTGACTCTGAACCAGTACCCCGGGTAAACTGTACTAAATACTTGGGCGCCTTTATTGATACTAATCTCCAACGGACCTCTCACATTCAACACATCAGTAAGCCTCGACGACTTTCTTTTCACATCCGTAAATTTCGCAAGCAATTATTTCCAAATTCGTGTACCCGTTTTACCTTCCTGTTCGCGTTGTTTTTCCCAATCTCCGAAAGAGAGATTTTAAACCGTTTCGACGTCGACTGACTATCATTAGTCGTGCCTCTTCAATCACACGGGAGGAGTTGGTGACGAAGCTGGGCGAACGTCATCCGAATGCATGTGAGAAGTTTCCACATGAGAGTCTTAGCGACTCCACACCCGCTAAACGCTGATTTAACTTCCATCCGACAACTAGGCGACAATCCTTCGGGAACAAACTCGATTACACAAGAGCACAGATTTTATTCTAAAAAGGAACAGGCTTTCACAGACCTCGTCAATAGTTGTGGAATATAATTTTTCAAGTAACAATCAGTATATTCTTAACTGAAATGCAGACTATGCCTGCAGAAGTTATTGCAATACAATGCAATACGCCACCACGTACTCGCGACAATACTAGTGGCAACCGAAGCCGCACTCACCGACGTGCGCACAGAAAGGACGGTCCTCATGAATTCCTTACACATCAACCACGTGGCAGACCTAATCTTAGGCTATTCGTCTGCACAAAATTGGAAAGGGCCATCGCCGATACCAACTACCACACGCGGTTCGGCCAGGGACGCCACCCCTCCGGGCCCCGTATAACAACGGCGAGCAGAACCAACCCGCCCGCCACACAGAAGCCCGACGGCAAACACCATAAGCCAACACAATCCCGCTGCAAAATAAACCACCCGAGCGAACCCACGGTCTACGAGAACAAGAGGGCATAGATAGAAAAGAATAAAACGATAACCACTCTGTGTGGCCCTTAAAAGGGCCGTGGAAGCGTTCTCTACCCGGTAACGGACACCGCCGGATCTATTTCGTGCTAGTGTATTTGGTCACCGCCTTGGTACCCTCGGAGACGGCATGCTTGGCCAACTCACCAGGCAACAGAAGACGAACTGCAGTTTGGACTTCTCTGCTAGTGATGGTCGAGCGCTTATTGTAGTGAGCAAGACGACTCGACTCGGAGGCAATGCGTTCAAAGATGTCATTGACGAACGAGTTCATGATGGACATCGCTTTCGAGGAGATACCGGTGTCGGGATGGACCTGACGCAAAACCTTGTATATGTAGATAGCGTAGCTCTCCTTCCTCCTGCGCTTCTTCTTCTTGTCAACCTTCGGTACTTTGGCCTTCGAGGCCTTCTTCGCTGCCTTGCCTGAAACAACCTTGGGGGCCATTGCGTAGTAGAGTAACGCGAACGAGGGGCGATTTCGCCCGTTCACGATATATACTAAACAAAAATACACGCTCTGTCTTCTCACCGCGTTATCGATCGCAAGCGGATCCAATAGTAAAGCGCCATTCAGCCATTGGACAGAACCACGAACCAATCACTGCGAAAAGATCGTGCAGCAGCTGCCCATAGACAGACAGACGGACAGCGACTAACCCATCAACCAACCCAGCGCGGGGTAGGTGAAACAGGGTTGTCGACGTGCTTTGTCCGTGACCTGGCCCGGTGCGAACGGACCACCACCCAAACGTCGACAGCCGAACAACGGTCGATTACCGTTGTACTGCCCGCGCGCAATGGCATGTCAGCTAAGAACACTATCTTTAATGAGGACAATGGGAGAGGTTGATTTTGGGTTCTTTTAGTATTGTATTGTATTCAAACTTTAGCGATTTATATATACAAGCTCTCAGCCAAAAAATAGACCACCGTTACAATTCTGGTAAAAACAGGGGAAAAAGTGGGATGT